AATTAGTAAAAGTACACTTGATTTCCACACATGGAGTCTCGTGGTCTTTCTTTCCTAATTAATTAATGGAGAGGTGTTGACATCCAGAAAATAATTATTGTTGTTTATAAAATATTTTAAGGGCTGGAATATATAGATGATTTATTATTGCCATGCATTACCATTTTTAATCTACATAAAATCTACCTAGTGTGATTTTTTCCTGCAACAGTTATACTAAGTGCATTCTTAAATCCATTCATGTAATAAGTATATTTCTTAGTGCTTGTTTTCAAAATAGAATTTCATACTGAAATATACCTAGGAGAGCTATAGCTGCCTCTACTTTTGCAATTTGTGTCCCAGGTGTATCCAATCACTACTTATTCCTGATAAAATTAAAAGTGACGTATATAAGCCATGGAGCCTCAAAAAAGATAAAGACTCACTGTGTATTGATAACAAGTCTGTCCCATTGTCCCTTAATATCATCCTCTGAAGGCTGTTCTGTAATATACAGCCCGTCAAATTCCAATTTCCTTGCAACTTCTTTTTCTCGCTTAAATATTACCAATGGAACCTGGAAATAGAAGTACAAAAAGTTGTTTAATTCACTTGGAGCAGTTACTTGTTAACCGTATCTGGATGCTGAGAAAAATGCAAAGAACTGATAAACTTACATACTTCTTTAAAGTAAGTGCCATTGCTCCTGCTCTTTGGAACATCCCCCCCTCCCGCCCCTCAGAGGTGAGGCAGGCCCTGACTCTCTCCTGGCTTGCTTGGAATCCACAGAGGAACACTAAGCCATTGGGTTACTTAGCATCTTGCAAGCCCTTCTTCTGCCTTCCGAACTTGAGTTTTAATTTCTCCACCCTTCGTTTAATTGCCTCTTAATATAATATTTATATGCAGCTTTTATGTTTCACTTGCATTTTACTTAGTCGCTTTGTGAGGGAGATAAATGTTTTTGGTATTTGATATATCAATCAATCAATCAAATAGTATTCACAAGGACTTTCTCCCCAAAAGATGATATAATCCAGTGAAGAGAGATTACAAGGGTAAGGAAAGAGAAGAATTTTAACTGATTCTCCTTTCCCACTGCAATCTCCTATTTCATTTTCCATACTACTTTAGAATGTCCTTTCCAGAAAATGTTTTAGAAGCTATAATGGACTATAGCAGGAAGGGACAATTACCTGTAATCATTGCTTCTTCTTGCCAATAACAGATATGCAACAGGTGCACAAAATTAACCATTTTTCTAGTATGTTCTTTCCAACGAAAAGAATTACATAATTCAGAATACAAAGTTTTGATTTGTTTGTATTCATGTTGCTGACATAATGTTTATTGTTACTTCTTCTGACAACAATCAATAAAATAAAATACACAAAAATAAATGAGTTATCAGGGAGAGGGAGACAAAATAAGTCCAAGGGAACTATAGTCCAGTAAGCAGATCAGAGGTGAAATCCTCCCTGTTTGGCCTGGTTTAGCCGAACCGGTAGGGACAATTGTCCCTGGTTCTGCGAACTGATAATAAAAAAAAGTTTCCAAGGATCACGCAGCTCAACTGTGTTCTGTGCGATCATTGGAAGCTTTTTTTTTTTTTCATTTTTTAAAGCATATTTTTCCTGCCTATTTGCCTGAACCAGCAGGAAAAAAAATGCTTTAAAAAGTGAAAAAAAAGTTGGCCACACCCACCCAGTTACATGACAACCCCCCCAAGCCACGTCCACAGAACTGGTGGCCAAAAAAATTAGATTTCACCGCTGAAGCAGATGTGATATCCTCGTTCTCTTACTTTCAGACAGTAATACCCAATGATGCAGAAAAAGGAAATGACAGTGTGTAAAATCGCTAAAATGCGGAGTGTAGGTTCCATGTAGCCACTGCTTTCTTCAAGGACATAGTGTACTGTGATGATTCTATGAGAAGGACTTTCTAGGCTGTTTAGCTTCATTTTCTCAGCAGTATTAACTACTTGTACTTCCTTTTCTTCTGATACTGAAGATGTAGATACCTGTTGAAGAACAATTTGACAGAAATATCACATTTCTACAAGCTACACACAAAAGAAAAGGGCTAACGGGTGGAAGCAGGATTATTCCAGGGGTAGATCATTGACATTTAACAGTAGGAAGCCTTGAGCTGAAATTCTGACAGATCTCATCCCCTCAATTTCTTTCTCTGCTGGCATTTCTTATTTTCTTTAGTCAAATGCTATTCAAATTTTACAAAAAAATCCTCAACTTACAATGATTCAGTTAGTGATCATTCAAAGTTACAACAGCACTGAATAAAGTGACATATGGCTGCTTTTCACGCTTACAACCACTGCAGCATTCCCATGGCCACGTGATCAAAATTCAACTGCTTGGCAACTGGCATGTATTTATGATGATTCCATGGTCCTGGGGTCATCTGATTGTCTTTTGTGACCTTCTGACAAGCAAAGTCAATAGGGAGCCAGATTCACTTTACAACTATGTTGCTAACATAACAACTACAGTGATTCACTTAACAACTGGGGCAAGAAAGTTCATAAAATGGGGTAAAACTCAGTTAACAACTGTCTTGCTTAGCAACAGAAATTTTGGACTCAGATTGTGATTGTAAGTCGAGGACTACCTATGTTTTCAAATTCTATCTTTAAACAGTATTCACAACTCTACAAAGCTTAACTATTTTTAATAGTGTTTTAGCCTCCATAAGCATCCCCCCCAATCGTTACATATGTTTATTGCTGCCTTATAAAATTATGGTATTGATTGCACTAATGATATTATAAAACCTAGTAAAACTTTGTTGACTTATAATCTTGGAATACGGAGAAATGATACAGAATAAATTCAATCACCTTTAAGGCACATTTATGCAGTAAATGCATATACTAAAAGCTGTCTATATAAGCAAGCCCTAAATTCAGGATATTATGTCAGAATTTTACACTACGGAGTAAAGACTTTGAGTTAAAAATCACTTAGTTTTTTATATGTCAGTTTAAGTTTAAAGCATGAAGGATTTACCTTGTAGAATAAAAGAATGAAATTAATGGCAAATGCAACAAATAAAGCCAACATCCTCATATTGTAAAAATTCCGGGCAAAATAATTCTGAAAAAAGAAATAATTTTAAATCAGTTTTAGGTAATAGTTAAAGTACTGAATTAGAAATCAGGAAACTGAGTTATAGTCCACTATTAGACACAAATGCTGGCTGGGTAATTTTGGGCTAATCTCTCTATTTTCGCCAAACCCACCTCACAGTGAAGTTATTATGAAGGAAATAGGAGGTAACCTGATGAATTGTATACAACAAAGACAGGACATAAATCTAACAAATAAATATGCTTAATAGCTAGTTACACTTAATATCTTTATCTTCTCTACATAACTTGCAGAATGCTATTCTAAATAATTACATAAGACGTTTTCCACTTCTAATTATTCACATAATTTATGACAATTAAAAGCACTTATCCAAATTATGTGTATTTAATGTTTAAGGATTGTATCTGAACAGTGTGTATATTAAACAGTACCAAACTATACTAAAATGCAAATAAGAATGTAGAAATGAACAATACTTTCCCATCTACATATTTCATATAGATGTTTGATAATCTGCAATGAGGGAGAAAATACCCAGAAATGGTTTTGCATTCCCTCCCCAAAGAATTTTTTGTGAAAATAAATAATGTCTAGCTTTGGAATAGACATAGACATAAACATGAATTAAGCTGCAAATATAAACATTTAAACAAATATGTATACAAAATGATGTACTATAAGGAATACTTGTCTATTTTAACTTTTAAACCCCTTACAAGGACTTTCTGTTGATATGCAATAATTTTTTTCCAGAAGGCAGATTCTTGCAATTCTAGTTCACCATGCCTATGTTTGTGACGCTGCCTTGGTTTCTGCTTTCCCTTATCTTCTTTTGTTTTCTCTTCCTTTTCTCCATCTTCTCCCCTGTAGACACATATTTTCCAAAACTATAATATCAGTCACATTTCTCAATTAAAATTTAATATCTTAATGAGGAAAGAATCAACTTGCACCATGGAGAGGAGAGATCTTTTTTCCAATGATACAAGTATGCTAATAGTTGAACAAAGACTATGGAAAATGTACAATATGTAAAGAACTCAGAAAATCTAATAACAATAATCATTTTATAATAAAATTAAAATGGAACAAATATTGTGTTAAAAAGTAAAAATATACTACAAAACAAAAGTGGTGTAATCCTAGGTTACAAACTCCTACATGGTGTTCTGCTTGATTCCCCAAGTACAATAAACACAAAGTAAATATATACAAATGAATTGTTAATTTATACTGCAATACAAAAATAATGGGACATACTCTGCTTTTTCATGTTCAAATTTAGTATCTTCTCTTTCATCTTTTTCATCTTCATTCATCTTCTGGTCCTTGAATAAATAAAAATAAACAAGACAGAAAACATTATGACAATGATCCATTTTCAAATTATATGGCATAAAACAAAAAAAGAGGTATTGCTACTAAAAAACCTTTAAAAATACACATACATTCTATGGCTCATGTAAAAATAAGATAACACATTTTCATTTGAAAATGATTCTTTCATTTTAAAATTGAATCTAATTTTTAAACCCTTACAATCTTGAAAAAAAATTACCTAAAATTATCCACTTTAAAACAAGAAAAACGTTGTTTTTTAAATACCTGTGTTTCCCTGAAAATAAGACAGGGTCTTATTTTCTTTTGAGCCTTGAAATAAGTGCTTGGCCTTATTTTCGGGGAGGTCTTATTATTTTTGAGGTGCAGGAGGTGGCGAACGTGGTCATCTCATGGCTGCTGCTGTATTGCAATATTTTTTGGGAGG